TTACCATCTCCATGTGCGAGCTGAAGGCTGGGGTTCGACTCCTGACGCACATATCTGTGCTAGGTGTGGCCGAGATAAAGGCTCAGGGTTAGGAGTTCAGTCCCTGCCAAGTGGTTCTTCCTTCCTTGATATCTCACTATCGCTTCTAAGATTCTTTCTCATCCTTCAGATTCACTTTGGACTCGGGCACCTTATCGATCTGCTCACAGCTTGCTGTCTGCAGGGCTGGGATGGGCAGGCAGACACCTTGCAATCCACCCGAGCAGGGTTTGATATCTGGTCCCCAACAAAGGTTTCTGTGATTCATTTCCCTCCCTCCCTTCGGTTCCCCTTACCCCACGCCACCAAACCTGGAAAAACAGAACCACTGCATACCGTGGACGCCACATATTCCTCAAGCCAGTGAGCGCAGTCTAAACAGGCAGCTCTCCATCTCCGACACCTACAGCAGGGAGGAGAGGGTGAAATCCTGCAGGCTCCTGCTCCCAGCCCTTGCTCTGCACAAGACCAACCCGCTTTTTCCCCTGTTGTTCCAGGGGATGGCAAAATTCTAGCTGTTATCCCAACCAGACCCTTTGTACAAGCTCTGTGCGTGTGTTTGTGTAAGCGAGAGCTCTGCTGGGTGGTGAGGAGGAACAAGCTTGTTCACAAACGCTGCTGGAGCCCTGAAGGAGGACAGGAGGAATAGGCTTGCTCAGAAATACAGGATTTGCTCACGTAACAACCTCCCCCTGCCCAGATCCGAGCTGTGGCTAGCTGACATGGCTCTGTTCAGTAGCGGCAATTTGCTCGCTGCTGCGCTGCACTTTTGGAGCACATCAAGAATCAGAGCCTGGTTTTGCTCACCAGATTTGGCACAAGATGTACCAGCAGCTCAGGGGACATAGAAGGGGACATATGCTGCAGCATGGCCAGGCCGTGCCATGGCAGAGCACTCGGCCAGCAAGACGCGTTGGTTGGTAGCCTCTCCACTTCCCTCCGCTCATCTCCAAGTGTTTCCTCCCAACCTCTTAGGGCTGCCATGGAGCTGCATGTGTAAATCTACCGCCTTGTCGCTTGTATACGGCTGGGTCTCCGTGTGACGGTGAAGAGGGACCCGGGGGCGACGCGGGGCTCAGCTCGGGGGCGGCGGAGCCGAGCCGTTCCCTTGGAGGCAGCGCCATCTGGTGCTGCGCACTGCGCACCGCGCCCCGAATCCAAGGGGTTTTTCCCAACAGCGACTGCGAACCCGGCTGCTTCGGGAGGTTTCTGCCCCTTTATTATTTATTTTTATCTCCTTCCTTCTTTTTCTTTCTTTCTTCTTATTTTTCTTTCCGCCATCTAGAAGTCTGAAGGTGAAAGGAGCTTTACCGCGTCTCAGGTTTGGCGTCAAAATGTCTGATGCGCCCCAACACCAACAGATCTCCTTCATGAGATGCTTCTGGCTCAGGTCTGTTCTGTACCCAGGTGGGAAACATGTGGGGTAGCATCGAGGAGAATATAGATACTCCTGGTACAGTTACGTGATGCTCCTGGGCAGGGGTGGTTACTCAGACTAGCAGAAAACCAGGTACGTGGGGAGACTTCCCTGGTGGAAACAAATCCTCTGAATCTTAAATGGGTATTCAGAAGGCCAAGTGCTGAGTTTAATCCGTATTTCTTAGCAGGGGAAAGCTCAAACTGGGTGCCTGACTTCTTGTTGAATCCAAGAAGCTTTGGACTTCGATGGATCTGAGTCACAGCTTTTGAAAAGGGGACTTTGATTACTTTGGGACGAGCAAAGGCTTTTAGAAGGTCAGATTTCAGCATTTATTCACTTTCCATGCATTCTTAGAAGCAGAACTGCTGCCTGACACCAGGCTCTGCAGGAAAAGAACGCTAGGGTGGTTCATACAAGCCAAGAAATCTTTGTCAGTGGCAGCCACATTCAGGGACATAATAACTGATGCAGGTGACTGGCTGAAGGAGATCCCCACAATGAGCAGGAGATGCACAGAGTGCCAGCAGCTCCGTAATCATGAGCTGATGCTTTTCATAGACACAGTTATCAGATTGGCCCAGGAAGTGAGGAGAGGCAGGCAGCAAAGTTGTTTTAAATAAATTCCATTGCCAGTATCCATTGTGCCCAGTAAGCAGCTAAAGTCAGAAGATTATTAAGGAAAGATAACAAGGAGTAAAGCTCATTATTGATATTCTGGGATGCAGGGCTGTCTATTTGCACATGCTTGTAAGAGGCTCTTTGAGACCAATTCCCCATCATTGGGATAAACATCAGTCTCCTCTTCTTAGACACCTGCAGGTTCACATATCACATATCAGCCTCACCTACTGCCACAGGCACACATATCAGAGCAAAGGTCCATTCCAGAGACCAAACCATGATCAAATCTGCTTGATCACAGAATGAGATGCGTGGACACTGGCAGTGCTTCCATACTTCAGTATCTCTTACACTGAACACAGTTATTTATTTGTGGCAGCAGGAGTTGAAAGACGCGGAATGGTACAGAAAGTGCAGTTCTGTGGCTCAGCTCAGCTTCAGGCTAATTACTGAAAAAATAAGCAAACACACCTGGAAAAGCAAGATGTCAGAGCCTGGAAAGTTTTGCAGGGACTTAAAAGTTAGCAAGAGTTCACTTGGAGCCAGACTCGCTACAGCAATTGTGTTTCTATATGGTAGAAAAGATACTGCAGATCAACTACTGGGATAATTGCTTCCTTCAGGGAGATGGAAATGCCAGCCTTCGGAATCTGAGCAGCACAAGTGCTTGGAAATGCTCTGAAAACATGATATCCCTCTGGAAAAACTGCAAGTATTGCTCTTGTCTGAATGATTAACTTCACTCTAACAGATTGCTTAAAAATACTAAGGAGTGGCTGCAACGGATACACTAATGCTGAGAAATGTGGAGGTTTTTGCACTGTTTCATGAATGTTTCCCTTCCCTCCCTGACTTTTTTCCTTCCCTCTCATCTCACCGTTCCAAATGTTTGCTTTATTCCCTAAAAAAACCCCATACTTTTAGCTCCACGTGTTTCTGCATGAGATGGGTGGACCGCAACACGCTTGCATGATTTGCTAGACCTCAGGAGGAAGCACGTCTCAGAAAAAGTCATCATTTTCTGTCCCCTGTCTGGTTTCACAGGGAAAGCAAGCTGTGATTTGCACCCTTGGAATGGAGAGAGGTTTGCAGGTGTGCTTTGACTGACCAGAAGGCTCTCGAGTAGCAAGAGGACCTGTGGGATCACACAATACCCAACCACAGCAGGGCTGCCTGGTGGCTCCAGCAGCCGAGTGGAGGCAATGCTGAAGCTCTGCTGGGAAGAAAGAAGATGCTGGGATGAAACAAGGTGCCCATCCATCACATAAAAAAGGCCACCGTGCTATGTGTTTTTACTTATTTGAAAAGCAAGCAGTTGATGGGCTTCTAACCTGTCTTTCCAGCTGTTTCCCAAGGCTGGGAATAAGCAGCCTACCAGGAGCCAACTCTGCCTTCCTCATTTTTCCATCTGTAAAATGTGGATGTTACTGGGGCTGCTGTAAAGATGCACTAGATAGGTCTGTATCCTGAAGTCATTTCTCCCAATGACTTCAGTGAGATGCCCAGCCCAGAACAATGGCAGGATACACAGCCCTAAACATTGCTGCTGTGCTTTAAAAGATGAAAAGCAGTGACTTCTATCTACCTATGCAAGTGGAGGGGCAGAGAAATTTTTCATGATGTTTATAGCAGACATCACAGGCATTACACATGAAAACATGGGAAATGGTGCACTCTTCTTGTAGAGAGATAATCTTTAATAGATGGCAACGAGGAAACAGAGGCATTCATACACAAGCACCTACCTCACTAAGGGGTATGTTTGCCTGGCTGACATGGCCACAGTCACAGATGTTTCCTCCAGTGCCAGAACTGCTGCATGGGGCTGTTCCTTCTAAGGAACCGGAATGAGAGAAATCTCAGCACATGCTTTTCCTTCCCCTCCTCACCCTTTGCTGTCGTTGAAGAGAAAAATGCAGTGACTGACTTTCAATGAAAGCATTCTCCTAAAAAAAAAAAAACCACGTTTGTTTCTTCCTTTGAAGTGCTGGAAGATAAAATTAAAAAGAAAAAGAAAAAAAAAAAATAAAGACATGACTTGAAGCCAGTATTTAACCACCCCCTTTTATTTTACTGGCCTCTGATGATAGATAATGAGCTAAAATCATGTGTCCTTAAAGACTGCTTCCTGTGAGGGAACAAGGGCCTGATGTGAATGGGTGCTGGAGGGCTGGATGGGGACCTGGCTGTGTCACATAGGAGCAGGCTTTGCTCTCTTCCCACCCCGACGTTGAGATATTATTTTTTTTCCCCTTGTTCTCTCCATGGAAACAAATAATCTCTGACTCTTGTCACTTAGAGAAGACTATACAGCAACATGGCTTGTTTACTCACTGTTGTCTTTGGTGGATTGAAGCTGTGTGGCCTTGTCCACGTTCCAGGAAATGCATGGACATAGCTGTCTGAAGGAAAACCCTCATGACTGTATAGTTTTCAGTGCTGAGTGGCAGTTAGCCACCTCATTTTTATTGTTAGCAGATCACAATGTTGCCTCACTGCTCTGTGCCACACACCACGCTGTGACTAATATCATTCAGCAAAAGAAAATCCCCTCCAAATTGACCACGTTCTCAAGCCTAACGGATCTGGTCGAGGCTCCATCCATCTGATAGCATCCTCCCTTTGCACCTCTCCCATAAGCAGGGATAGAAAAGGACAAACAGAGGGGGTAGAATCACTCTGGGGAGCTCATATAGCACCTAGGGTGGTCGCTGCCAGGCTCTGCACCCTCTCAGCTGCCATAGAAGCTGGGCTGGGTTTGCTCACTGCAGCCAGCCTCCGGAGCTGTTCAGCATCTTTCCCCACTGAACCCTTGAAGAGAGGGGCATGCAATAACGACATCCTAACTTGTTTTGTGCCATGAAAGGAACTGGAAAGAATGCACTGAACCACATGACAAGTGAGGACATCAGGCTGCAGAGAGAATAGAAAGACCTCATTTTTAATTACTTCGGAACAAAGTTGGCTCAGTAAAGTATTTCCCATTGTACTGCTGAACTTTTCTTCTCATCGCACAGCAGCGAAACACAGGCTCTTCTGCTGCTGCTGCTGCAAATGGGCTGAAATCTGTCTGCGTTAGGGATCACTTCATTTCCTATTGAATGCAGGCTATCCATTAATCAAAGGCGTTTTAGAATTTTATGCAACATCCAGGCACTTCTTTCTCATTGCGGATGGTTTTAGCGTGGGAGTCTTCAAATATGAAGATACCTCAGCCCTTCATACAGAAGGGGAACGGGGGTTAATGGACAAGATGTGCATTTTCACCATTGCTCTGGGTGTTTACAGAGACCAGGGCTGAAGCCCTGAAGCTTTGGAAGTCCCAGACTAGTGCTTTAGTCACTGCAATAAAGAAGGGCTGTGTGCAGTGGTAGGCACCTGAGATGAGGCGACGTATCCATGTCTATGCAGCCATCCTAGGTGCTAGCAGCAGGGCCACAACTACAACTGGCAGAAAATGAAGAATTATTGCTTTAGTAAAGGTTCTCATCTTTAAAGCTTGTTCATTCAGACAGTAAATCCCCTAGGGCATTGACTCTGTGGCTTGATCCTTAGTAAAATATCTTGCACAGTCTTGATCTGGGCCAAAGTAAAAAACAAGCAGACTTCAGTTCCTCGAGTTTCATTATGAGATCAGAGTCCAACGATTCACTGAAAAGTATTACATTGCAGAGTTTTGTGGATTGAGAGAAAAGTCAGAAGTGACTCATGTACAACCCATGTCTTCCTGAGCGTGCAGAGAGCCTGAAACAATAGACCTAAGAGATGCAAACTGGGCCCCATTCACTCTTTCTTCAAAATCTGCTGCCTACCCAAGCAGGAACTTGGTCAGCCTGTAAGAAAAAATCCACATCACACAGTTGGAGATGCCAGAAAGTCATGTAGGCGTGCGCCTTCGGTAGTCTTGTGTTGCTTAATTAAACAGCAATTGAGCATCTTGCATTGAAATGTCACTTAGCTAAAGAAGACCAGCTTCCTAAGCAGTGGTAAGAGCCTCATTCTTAACACAGCTTCTCTTGCTTCAAGACAGAAATCACGCAGGCTTCAGCATGCACAAGGTCAAACTCCTACCAACTGTGTTAATACAGAACACATTTCAGAAAGCATGAGATGCACCCAATTTCTCACAGGTAAGCTTACAGAACTGCTTTGCTGCAAGTTATGCTGCTTTTTTTTTTTTTCCCTTGTCATTGCAGAATATAAATCCTTAAGTTCCTACAAAATCACTTCTTGTTTTCAACTGTGGGAATGCAATAGCAATGCACAGATGAGATAGGATTCCCTATGGTTTTTCATCTCCAGAGGGGAGAGGTTATGTTCTTCAGCCACATTTGCCAGGAGAAAACCCTTGTGAAAGTAAGGAGGCCACCCCAAGACAGCAGGAATGTGGGGAAGCCAAGCCTTATTTCAGAGGACTACTGCTTACCTTCATGCAAACTATAAACCTCTACAGGTGCTCTGAGCCTCGGTGAACTTTCTATAGCTTCAGGCTCTTCTCAGCAGCAGCCTGCACTAATTTCTTCCTGCAGGCTGTTGCTCTTGCAGCAGACAACAGAAAGGAGCTTGTTCACAGCACAGTTACTCTGATTTGCTGATGCCCAAATGATCTTGCAATTTATTAACAACTTGCTCAACTTGGAAATTATCACTGCATTAACATGATTCCAGTCCATTCAAAACGCTAACGGACGGCTCATTAGCCTAAGCTTATAGTAATTACTTTTCTCCTCAGAGCCTAATTACAATTACATACCTCTGTCTGGTTAACACCTTTCCAGCAGTGTGGTTTGGATTGTGAACTGCATTCAAAAAAGTGAGAGGCCAGAAGATAGCTGCAGAGAATCAGCTACGTGCAGAGCAGTCTAACAGCTCATGCTACAGGTTGCACACAGAGCCACAACTGCAAAGAGGAAAGTCATCTGAAAAAAGCTCTATCTAGATATGCTTGTCCAGACAAAACCGGCCACTGACTGCATACAGCATTAAGAGCAAAGCAAATACATCCAACACCCCCAGCATATAAACTTTTACTATCAAAATACAGAGAAAACCATTATGATTTCTACTGTTCCATTGCTTTTGGAGGTCAGCTGACATTGAGCTCTGTGTTGTGGCTTCCAGCAAAGAAAAAACTGATGACCAAGGTTAGCATAGAAGAATTCTTAGGAGTGCCTCCAAGTATGAATACAAAGCACTTGCCACTTGTACATTTCTTTTGATTTCTTTGCCTTAGTTAAAAGAAAAACAACATTATTTTTTCCTAATAAAACTCAAAGTGGTCAACAGTGCTTAATCTTATCTGTGCCAAAACTTTGGTCATTAATACGAGGAAACAAGGCAGGAGATGAATTTCCCACAAATGTGACCAGGGAAGGCTAGTTCAATCTGTAATACACACAAAGTTGTTTGAGATGACTGAAGCTTGCATTGGTGGGATAATGCCTTGTAACTGCTAAGGTCATCTCAGCATCTTCACCAAAGCAAGTGGCATTACGAGAGTCAAAAAGAACATCATATGATCCCTCTTCTTAATTTGCCATCCTATGAAGGGGGAGGTTGTGAGGTATGATTATTTCTTTGCTTTACTTCCCTCTGCTTTCTAAGATAATGATGTAATGAGTGTCTTTAAGTAGTAACATGACTCCTGGATCTTATCCTTGAAGCACACGACTACTGAAACAAGATGCAGGGGCCTCTGTAGTGATTACATTTGATTTCAGGCTAAGTGATACCAAAAATAATCTTGAGCTGAAGGAAAAGAGAGCATTTAAGAGCACAGCGCTATTTCTTCAGCAACTTCTCCTTTGCTGACCTTCCAAGAAGTTGGAGCAATGCTTTCCTTGAGACCATCTGCACAGAGCACATGATAACACCGAGAATTTGTTGAATACTGTACAAAATGTCTGACCCCTGAGGCATAATAACATGCTTAAAATATACATAATGGTACCCTCTGGCTAAAAAATAAGTTTCCAAGTTTAAGAAAAATCAATTTGGATGCTTACTTTGACTACGTGCCCAGCACCGATGGCAAAAGTGCTCCTGTTTAGAAAGGATGGTTCAGCCAAAATTTAACTTGTTTTTCAGGAATAGGGAACTGAAGAAAAAAAAAAAAGATAATAAAAGCCAACAGGTTTTGACCACCGTTTGGCTGCTTTTTATTTCCACTGAAATGATTATCTATTAAAGTCATTTCACAGAGGTAACGGAGTCACACCATGTTATAAGAAACAAGACAATCAGGAAGAGCATCTGTTTTATAAGCATCTACATCATCCATGAAAAAGGCACCTGAAGTGCTGAGGGAGAAAGCTGGTATCTGCTTTCCTCTCCCAGACTGATGTTTTTACACAGGGCTGAATTAACAGATCAAACCTGAGGTGGAAGCTACCAGCTCATCCACCCGATCCTGATAGCTGCAAGTAGGGGCTGAGGCAGTGTTTTTATAGCAATTCTTTAAGAGCACAAAAAGGCCAAGCCCTCCTTCTCCATTTTAATGAAAAATATACTGAAAATTCCCAAGAGGCAAACCCTGTTTCTTAGTAAACATAAGTGCAAACCCTAAGACAGATTTTTTGCAGCTGGCTTTAAAGCACACAAGTACAAATCCACAGGTACAATCTGCAGATGACAGAACACAACCACCTCCCTCCATGTGGCAGCTACCAAAGGGCAAGTTTTTGATCCAGGCCTAACAGATGTACACTAAAAGGCAAATCACCCCAAGGCCAACGAAAAACAAATACACAGAGCGTGGTTACTTTGTGGATAAGCATTTACAGAAAAGGCTCCTCTGTCATCTATCTTGACAAATACACTTTGCACATACAACTGCAGGAATGAGGCAGGCGAGTCATCTATGAGATGTATGCCTCATTTATTTGAATATATGGCTTTGCCTTTTGTTGTCTAGCCTGTGGAGATCACAGCATATACTAATAACCTTGAAAACTTAGGTCTGCTTCTTGCAAAACAATAAAAACACGCCTTTGTTTCTTTCTCCTTCCTCTATTCATATTCATTTCTGACTATTGATTTCCACTTGCCCTTTGTTTCTCTGATTCTTGGCCAGCTCAACTCGCAAAGTATTACCCCCGAGGCTCAAGCCTTTCAAAGAGGATACAGCACTCTCTGCGGTTGCTTTATCCTTGTAATCGAGAAAAGCCCTGTGCTGTGCTCCCTGCCAATTCACTCGTAAAGGAGCTGCATGGAAATCCCTCAAAGCACATTTCAGCTCGCTCACTCTTAGGTTGGGAGGTATGTTCCCCACATACACAGTAGTAATCACGCCAGATCCCTCTAATCTGGGACTTAAAGAATCACTTTCAACATACTGTTGTCCTGTTTGAGCTGAGCCCATTGAAGCCTGTGGTCTTGTTTTTCCAGCCATTGCCTTCTCATTTAACGCTGCTGACTTGTTGGCTTTTGCCAAGTCTGGCTGTTCATCTTGGAGGGTGACATCCTTGCCCGCCTGCTTCTCCCTGTACCGAAGACTCTTAAGGATGGGGATTTTTCCCAGCATCTCACAGCTGACCTAAAAATGGAGGAAGACAGACACAATTATGAGTATTTTTCTTCTTCCAGAAAAAGATGACCATCAGGACACATTCGTACCATAAAAAGAGAGGAACTTTATTATATTGCTGCCATTCAGAGTGCCAGAGCATTCAAAATGTTACTAATTGTTGGCCGGATTCTGAAGTTGCTCCCTAAATACACACTGCGGGACAAAAATAAACATTAGTTACTCTTCAAGCAAGTATAACCAGCAGGAAAATCAAAACCAAACTCAGAGCTGGTTGACTTTGACATTTATTTATCAGGGCGCTTTCAGATTTGCATTCTCACTGTTATCCCTTAAGGTTTACTTTGACCGAGGCGCTGTGCTCCTGCTCTGGCAAAGCCTCACATGCCTACAATTCATCAGACCATGAGGCACTTTCATTCTGCAGACCTCCTTGCTTTCTTTACCCCTGAAAACAGGATATCCCGTAGGTTCGGTCATACAATGGGGAGGGACCACGGTGTTAGCTTGCAGCTGGGGAGCGTGCCTTGCAGTGGGGCTCCTACGAGTGTGGGCCCAGCTGGAGGCACGTTCTCTGGTTGTGGAACATCACCACAGCCCTCCCTTCTACCATCTGACACCACACACCACCCGCAGCTGCTCAGTGGATCCCACAGCAGTCTGCTGGGCTGGATCACAGAACTGAAGAGCGCCCGAACGCCGCGCTTTACAACTGTGAACCCTCTCTCCCTCCATCCAGCCCCAGTTCATAAGCAGCTTTTCTGGGAAGGGCTCTTCCTCTCAACAGCTGAACCCTATCCATCTCAGGCATGAGATGCCCCGGGCTGTGCTCAGCGACTGGCAGGAAACACAGTGGTTCCCTAGCTAATGTGGTCTAGCTCTTGGCTTGCAGACTGCAGTTGGAAGTAGCAATAATTCGTACTTGGCTGCTGGACAAGCAGAACATCCATCAACACAGGATCCAATTCTTAAATTTAGGGAGCAAAACAGAGCCTGGGGAAGAGATGCCTGAGCTAGCAGAGACCCAAGCTAATAGCCCACACAGTGTGAGCAAGCCACTCTCACAGGATACTGCATCAAAGCTTAGGAGCCACGACCTCAGCAGGCTGTCCTGGGCTGGCACTGGCATATCCTGGCTGGAATATACCTGCAGATCTCAGCTTAGAGCTCCTGAATTCCTGCTTCTATAATACAGTCCGGCAGGTTTCCTATTCTGTGAAGCAGACAAACAAACTTTACTTCAGGCTGAAATAAAAATCTAAGCTTACGTACAGCCCAGCCTAACCTTCAGCCTCGCTAATATACAATCAAACAGCAGAACATGGCTAACAAACACGGGCAGAGGCCACCTCTGCTCTGCCACAGAGCAGACCCAGAGTCAAGGTGTTTGGGATCAGGCCCTTTAAACACATAAACTATGACTGAAAATCTCTGTACAAATCTGGCAGCCAGTACAGAGAAGCAAGGGCTTCCTCTGGGGCTTTGGATGACTCTGAAAGGTACGTGGCATTTTCACATTTTGAAGACCTACTGCTCTATGGATTCCTGGACTAATTTGTTTTTCTCACCCAAGAATTCAGGCGGCTGGGTTCAACAGCAAAATCCCCTTCCCTGGGCAATACAACAACAAACCAATGGCTGAGGCCATCTTGCTTTGTTTTTACCAGACAACAATTAGGAACATTCACTGTCTTCTGTCAAATTTCTATGTGAAATGTAAGCTCTATGCCAATTAAACCAAACAGGAAAAACATTATTCTCATGTAGCTAACGAATCCTGAGCCCAAAGCACAACTGTCACCTATTACCAAGTGTATGCACAGTTACTTTCAACCTGAAATTAAACTCTATTTCTAATGCACAGACTGGGTGCTCAGCTAGAAGGATGGTCACCATCAAGAGCAAGCCCTCACTACTTTGTAGATTAAGAGAATTGATGAGTAGGGCATTCAGAGAACCAGCCTGGAACTTCCAGTCTCTCAAGGACAGATCGAAGATTTAAACAGTCCAATGGTCAGAACACTTTCTCCTCTTACTGGAGAGGCCAGCACTTCTTGGCACCCAATTGGAGCTCCTGTTTCACGGTCCCTGCAAACTGGAGAAGATGCAGTTGCAATACTATATATGGCTTGAGAAAGACTACAAAGCAATTTTTATAAAGCTGAAGCTCTGATCACAAATAACACCGTGAGTGGACCCCATCATTACCTGAAATTCAGCCCTTTGCAGGGACACCACTAAGAAGACTCTACAATACTGCTGCAACAAAGGCAGTTGATTTGGTACTTAATTTTATTTGCAACAAAAACATTCTGGAGAGAAAGAAAAAAAAAATTGACATCCTTGCAACTGGACATCATCAACTGACATCCTTCTGCCACAGAAGAATGACAGAGTATTTACCTTTAGGCTATGGTCTAGGAGAAACTTTCAGCTGGATCAAAGCTCTCAAATACTTCCCTATTTTTTGTCCCTTTTTTTTTTTTTTTAATCAAAGAAAGGCAGAAACTAAGTTTATGTACTCAGAACATCAATTCAAGAAACCAGTTCACCACCCTTTATGGGGTGCAAGGGGTGAGAAGCAGAAGGGCAAAAGGGGCAGTGGGTGGCACAGGAAGGGACTAAGCTTGTTCTGCTCTCTTGCAAAACACCAAACAAAAGAACGCCTTTGTGGTAGTACAATGTGTTGCTAATTACGACCATGCAAAAAGTATCTTTTGTCTTGTGAGATGTGGAGGTCTGCAATGATTTATTTCCAAGTGGAGAGAGTCCAAAGATATTCCTCCTCTCTTTCAAACAAGCTGCACGTTTCTTGGTGCTGTGCCGGCTGGTCACTCCTCCCTAGCCTCCTTCAGCACTTAAGGCTAAGCCAGGTTGCAAGGGCCTTTGGTTCTGCCTCCAGTAAGTCATCTTAGTCCCATTATATGGAACTGGGCAAGCCCAGTGGCTGAAGCCTCTTTCCTTGCTCCCCACATCCCTCTAAAGTCAGGGCCAAACCATTTATTGATGTTTGTAAACTTTGTATTGAGTGTTGGGAGTTAGTAAAACGATTGGCTTTGGCAATGAAGCCAGCTGAAGAAGTTTCCTATTATCCCTTGACCACCAATTCCCAGGCCACTTCCACACTTCAGCCTTCTGGGGTTGGACAAGAGAAATGCTTGTGGGTCTGCAGTACAAACTCTGTAACTGAAGTGATTCAGGTTAAAAATAACTCCACCAAAGGCAATTAATCATTTAACAATCCTGCCTACTCCCTGCCATGGCTGAGAGAGCCTTGGGGAAAGAGGACAGCAGGGTAGATGAATTCTTCTGGCACACAATTACCAGGCTATGGGAAAGGAGCTGAGAAGGGAAATGCGGCCCCTCTCTGACAGAAACCTGAAGAAAACAGAGTCTGGGATGCTGCCTGCCAATAAAAATCTCCCAGCATTTAACCCTGAGCATCCACTCTCATGGCACCTAGTCTGGTCACAGAACAACAGAGCTCCTGCAATGTCCCTTGCTGGAACATCGGGGCTCTCTTCAACCTCTGAAGAATGAATGCAGACACTTTCACTTCTTTGCTGGAAGAAATGAAAGATGTATTTGCCCTCTGACAGAATGAGTAATGCCGACCCCCTGACACAGTGCAGGCCAAGCCAAACACCACTTTGATTTCCCTGGCAACAGAGGCAGCACAGTTCTGATGTACCTCAGATGAGGAAAGGACACCTACAGACCAGAGAAGGTGCTTGGTCTGCTGTTTGATTCTATTTCACACAGCTACCCACCTGGGTGCATCAGCTGATGCAGGAACACGTGGCACGGAACGGATGCAGCCATGGAAAGCTGAGAACAAAACCAATCAATCTTTAGTAGAGGAGACCCATGAGCCCTTCTAAGTCCTGAGGCTGGAAAGCCAGGGGCATTTGGAAGATTCACCTCTGCCCGCTCTGAGGGTGGCCTGACCCTAGGCTCCTCAGAAATGCCTCCAGGACAGAGCCCAAATCTCATGTTGTCTCCTTAATCAGTTGCTTGTCTCAAGAAGCACTCTACTCACAGGGGTTTAAAGCATGGACAAAGCCAAGAGAGCTAGGACGGGCCAACACAGTTGAGCATTTTATCATTCATTTGCACAAAATGTCCAAATATGTGCACGCAATCCAAGGGCATATTTCTGGGAGCTGGCAGCCCATGAAGTCTGCTAGTGTCCCTCAGGAGAAACTTACGAAACCCACATTTGGAATTCATCAGCAAAAACTGATTCCACGGACTCTGCAGCAAGGGTTAGATTTGCAAAGGTGTTGAGAAGTCTAACCATGCATGGAAGCCAGCCCTGCTCATGTTTTCCCCTCCCTCCCCCCGAAAAAACACTGCCAAAACCAAAACAACAAAACAACTTTGGCCAAACTGACAGTAATTTTCTTCGGATGGCAACAGCGCCCCTTCCAAAGGTTTTTGCCAGCTTATGTGTGAAGTTTCTGAGCTCTGACAGAGCTTACTTTACTTTCCAAATATTCTATCACATACCCAAATCAAAAGCTGTTTGTTGTCAGTGTCTCCCTGCTACTGCACACTAAACATCAGATCCAGGGATTCTCCCAGTTTTGGAGACATCATTTTGGAAACGTCTTCTCCTATTTCTATAAAATTCTCAGTAAAAATGTGATTAAAAAAAAAAACAAACAGAAGGAAATGCTTGCTGGAATGCAGTGATTTTTCCACCAACTTCTCTCATTTCTCTCCTCCTGACCCCAAGTATTTTAATTGGTCTATATAGCTTCAATTTAAAATAAGCACTGCACAAATAACTTTGTAATTGTGACAAACATAACTGACAGTGTCACAGATAAAGATCAGAGCTCCCCATACAAAATACTAAATGAGAAAGTAGTTTCACGGATTTAGAGTTCCCAGAAACAATGGGTCAGATTTTCAAGAAAGATGAAGCCAAATAACTCTCCACTGGCATCCAAATAAAGTTTTCCAGAGTTCTCAGCTCTCAGCAGCTCTTATTGTCCTCCAAAAGCACTAAGCTTTCAAAAACCTCGATTCCAGTGCAGAAAACTTACCTGTATAAACACCCCAGCGTTGCCTTTGTATTTACATGTGCTTCTAGAGTGTCAAACACTTATTTTGGTAATGTTTCTTTGGTAATAGCATTGCAGCTCTTATACTTCCTTTGAAATCTTTAAAAAAAAGTTTGCATTTCTGTGACAAAAATCACAGTATGTGTTGCTGTTTTTTTTGCACCTGTTCCCATTCTTGACTCACTGCTTCCTTCCTACACAGCATATAATGAGAGAACACACATCTCTGGGCACAGAAATTTAGCCTGGAGATGTGCATTTTGTTTACCATGCAAGCACCCTTTTGCCTCTTTGTGAGCAGAAAACAGAGCAAACCTATTAATGGCTATTTATCCTAACAGCTTCAGAAAAGGACACTCTTTGCAACAATGCTTAGCAGTAATCCCATGTTTGCAAACACCTTTAATTCAGTTCCTAAGTCATTGTCTTGGCCTGATCCAGCTGAAGGACTTGTTTGTTTTTGCAAGGCATTTTACACATCAACCTCTTAGAGCAGTCTGGCTACTTTATGTTGACAAAACACCATATTCAGAAGTGAGGCATTTATCTACTCACTATCTCGAGGTTCATTTAGTTTTGCTGAGAGAAAGAGGAACACAACAGCAAAGCCAGGATTCAAAGGAGAAAAGGATACAGAGAAAAGGATGAGAAAATGAGGTAGAAGCATCCAGGAAAATCCGATGGACAAACACTTAAAATAGCCCCAATCAGATCCTACATTTTTAACGCCCTGACAATTGCTCAGACCTCCCAGGATTCTCTGTGCAAGAACTGATCATGGTTACCTCCACAACCACAAACAAGACGTATGCAAGCTGTTCAGCTCTCTGTGCAAGAATAACGCTGGATTCTTTCTTCACGCAAACAAGACACGCTGTTCTCATCCCAGAACAACAGCAACATCACAATCATCCCCACTCCAGTATTCTCCAGTATTTTTTTATCTAATCAACACCAGCTCTGAAGAACAGCCAAAAGCTGTTTTGTGTTAAATTAACACTCAGCATCTTTTTTTTTTCTTCTTCTTCTTCCTTAAAGTTCAGTCGTGTAAAGTGTGCTGTTCATAGTGAAAGCTGGGTCAAATCCAGAGAGCTGTATTCTTTAGACACCACCACTAATTTTAGACACGGCTCTGCCAAGCAGCTCCTCAAGCTTCAAATGCAAGCCCAAAGGAGTTGCAACAAATATTTTGTAAGCTTTTGAGTAATATATGGTAACACTGATCTTGACATTTTCTCTGCAAAGGGAAGAAGAAATGCTAAAGTAGTGCTGAATTTGATACATTGCTTGGGGACTGACTTGACTTTCCACTAGCAAAAACTACACAGTGATTCAAGGGCCACTGCAAGAAGCTGATCCCCAGACCTTTAAAAAACATCACTTGCAAAGGGAAGGAGACAGGGGAAAATAAAATCAGCAAGGCCAATTACTGAGGCTCCACTGACACCAAGAAAGACTACAATCAAAAGTATGTTGGCAACTCCATCCATGTTGGATAGAGCACAAGGAGTAGGCCTTGAAAACAATTACATTCAGCAATATCCTAAAAAATCATGATACAAAAATAATTCAGTGGAAAAAATGCACTGGTGTAGAAGCAGCTTCCATTTGTTTATTTAATTGATTTTAACCTCGAGTCCTCAATCACAGTCAGGGTAAAATACTCTCCCACCATAGGAATAAAAATAGCCCTGGCTGCAATTGTTTGTTGTAGATATGTCACCTTAACAAATCTAACTCTTTTTACTTTGTTAAACTCTTGCTAACCAACAAATGATTCCCCTAAAATCATTCACTAACGTTTCCTGAGTGGTTTCTGCAAAATAAGGGCATACTATTCATCATTTTACCCAATCAGGAAGGATTGGGTCTGTTCCCTAACCAGATGATTTCTGAAATGAAAATCTAACAACAAAGAAAATGTTTTCCCCATCATAAATTTACAGTGGAATAATTTAGGAAATGCTTTTCTGAAACCATTTGTGAAACTGCTGAAGTTTCTGACAATCTCTGGGGAAAAAGAACAAAAAAACCAAACCACACAGCACAATAATTATCAGTAAATACTGACATGTGATTTCAAGTGGTATCAAGGCACTGTTCTTTCACCTGAAAATAAGCTCCAGACACAAATTCATCTATCCTTTGGAAGCCAACTCCACACATTCATTAGGTAAACCACTGCAAGCCATGCTTTTCTTTTACAAGCAGAGCAGCACATATTCTGCTGTTTCCCTCATTGTCTAATGCCATAAAGCTATCTCTGAAGTACTGCCTCCAGAAATTGAACACAGCCAATTTTACACAGCACTGAGGAACACAACACCTGAGGAGTGGAAGCCTCTCAGCTATGAAGGCTATCACACTGCAAACAACTATCAGAGATATCTGTCTTAAAAATGACTCTCCTCCTGTAACTCATTTGACAAAGTAATTCCAGCTTCAGAAACACACTTCTCATCACTGTGATCATTTAGAAGCCACTCAAGATGTATGCTGTTTTTTTGTTTCATCTTACCACCACATTTGTTATTCTTGCAAGTATCTCTAAATCACTAGATGTCTTTATATGTGATTTTCCTTAAGGAATTAAAATAAAAATAAAAAAAATGAGGGACTTGTCAACAGAATGTTGGTAGCAGGGGTAACTTGCCTTATGCCATAGTATTCCACGTGGTTTTGGTCGTTTGCAATTAGTCTTGATAGTTCTTGTTGGTGTGAGTATGTAATCGACAGTTAAATCGTGGTCACCAAGGAGCTCTTCTGCTATGTCAACTACCTACAGGAAACAAGAGGTTTGTTAAAACCAGATTTGATAGAACTACACACAATCCTGCTGTCTTTCAACATACAAAAATCTGTAAGTGACAGCGGAAACAGAGTGTAAGTGCTACATCTAAATAATTCCAAATCTCTCTTGCACCATTCACAGAATGGACCAGGTTGGAAGGGACCTCAAGGATCATGAATCTCCAACCTCCCCATTTAACACTAGACCAGGTTGCCCACAGTTCCAATCTGTCATTTAAGAGTGGATATTTTAGCTTACCTGGCAGTCATGCACGATAGTAATTACAGGTGTGTCCTCTGTCACTGCTCCCATTGACACCATCATTGCATATTCCATGTCTGCATAACCTTCTCCTTTTCCAATTCTCCAACCTAAAGTGCACGAAGCAGAAGGTGTGAGTAACCAAAAACATCACAGTTTCTAATTTCACTGGAGGCCAAAATAGTGGCCTGCATGCTCTAAACCACGCTGCTGCCTGTTAACATTGACTCTGTGTGACAAATCCCTGAACCCAATCCAACCAGGAAGAAAAAGACAGAACTCAAGACCACAATTAACATCCAGTGAGATTTCTGGGTCCACCAGAAAGTAGATACAGCCTGCTGACATTGTGAATCTCACAACCTTCTCCTGCAGAACTTACAGGACTTTATCTTACCTTTTTCAGAGACAGCCACTGATCCTACAACAACCAAGTCCACTCGTGCTTTCCCATCGAGACCTACAGGCACACTGTACTCTTTTATGCCCTGCAAGAAAAAGATAATTTTAGGTTCACAGAGTGCAGACTTCTAGCCAGGGAGGCTGAAAGCAGGAGCATGTTGATAAATGCAAGTAACTACTCATGTTCCAAAGTGTTTCTTCCATGTATAGCCAAGTTGCAGATGGCTGGAAAGCTATCCTCTAGGGAATCCTAGAATACATTTTCTACTACAGTGAGAAGCATTTTGGCACGCTTCAGGGAGAGTCAAAAGAGGTGAGCTCTTTTCTAAGCAAGGTTACTTATTTAGGATCAAAAGCTGGTGTCTGAAACCCTCGATTCAGCAGCTGTTTCTGAAAATGAGGGCAAATGAAACTTGTTACCCTACTACAACTAACTGGAAGTCACAATACATAAATTTATATCCATGAGCAGTACCAGAGCACTGCAACTTCTTAAAATAGCTCTCATGTACAAGTCACAGGTTAATTTAGACAGACAGACACAGCCTCAAGATGTTAAATTGTACCTAAAATTTACTGAAGCACAACCAGGTACAGATGCTCTCCATTTCACACTATATACGCTGCACTGCTGATTTCTCCAGACCCAAATCTTTAGAAGCACATTCCAAATCTCCCAACATGTTTCCTGAGACTGCATTCCTCAACACTTCGCTGTGTGATCAAGATTTAGAATGCACCACTGTCAAGCTATCCTTACCAACAATTTCCTAACTAAAACACTAACAGTGAGCAGAAAAATATATTCCTAACAAGTGAGAAGAAAAACCTTCATAGAATCATAGAATTATTTGAGTTGGAAAGGACCTTTAGTTGAACCTTACACAATCCTATCATCCTTTTTAAAACTCTCCTTGCCCCCTCAATCCCTCCAGGCTCCTCTGTAAAGGAGACATCCTAATAAAACCGTGTCTAGAGTCACATAAACGAAAGACAGTGTTGTACTTCAGCTTTCACACACGTGCTACGTAACACCAACCCTCCTCAGACCAACTCAACCTTGTACTAAGTTAATCCTTACAGTAAAGAGCCAAACATTTTCAGCATGGATCGTGAAACCTAAAGGATGGGCAATGTTGGCATGACAATCAGTAATAACGTTCATTGCCCACTTCACAGCAGTGTGGTAAGAACTGTTTGCAGTGTGCTTTGTAAATATGAACTGTTAATAGCTTTTATTCATACTGGGGAAAAAAAAACACACTCATGGAGGTAAGATTATAGCTCAGATACCAGGCCTGAAACAACAGAAAGGTCTCTTTCAAAAGTGCTCTTCAACACTGAAAAGCTTAAGTAGTTAATGACTTTAATAGACCTTCCAACAAAGAAAGTTGCTACTAATTACCATTCATTTACAACCCTCCATTGTACACAGGATTACTCTAGAACTGCTGTTAGCAGGAGATAAACTGCAGACTGTTACATTTTCGCATCAGATAACTACGCATACAAAACAACACAGGTTTCTCTGCCAAACGACTTCAGCCGTACAGTACGACATTTTAACAGCAGAGGGCAGCAACATACTGCATTTCAAAGAAAACTGTTTTGTACTTCATTATTTTTGTACTTCATAGAATCACAGAACGGCCTGGGTTGCAAAGGAGCACAATTCTCATCCAGTTCCAACTCCCTGCTGTGTGCAGGTCGCCAACCAGCAGACCAGGCTGCCCACAGCCACATCCAGCCTGGCCTTGAATGCCTGCAGGGCATCCACAGCCTCCTTGGGCAACCTGTGCCAGTGTGTCACAACTCTCTGCATGAAAAACTTCCTCCTAATATCCAGCCTAAACCTCCCCTATCTCAGTTTAAAACCATTCCCCCTTGTCCTTCAGTTGAGGCAAAACACAGAACTAACAGTTCTTTACACTTCAGACTGAAAAAGAATTGATCTCTCCTACTTATTAACTCTGAATCTTTTAATCAACCAGATCAGGTAAAAACTAGAAAAACTAAAACATTCCTTGTAGAGTTTACTAACTCAAAACTGCCAAAAAAATCATAGATGGTGGATGCACCACAAAACCAGAAACAAGATATCAGTTGAACAACAGTTCAGGTAGCATCTGGTATTCCAATTTCCAGTTGGACCACTGTAACACAGCACTCTTCCAGATGTTAACTCAGACTTGGCCTACATTGTGTTCCTACCTGAGATGTAGCACATATCCGCAGTGTTTCCTTAGCTGCACCTGGAGGTGGAACAATCTTATTGAACAGCCCACTCCTCAGACGTGGTGTCGGAACCAACAGAGTTTTCCTTGCCTGTGGAACAAAAGGAGTTACCACCTTAAAAAGAACTGGGTCCGTTTTACACCAAAGAAACATTGCTACTCTCCCATAAACTTCTATGTGGCCAATTGTCTCATTTGCTCTGAGCAGTTAGCATTGGTGACCACGTAGTGGTTGTGGATGAATCCTTTTCACTACAGCAAAATTTCAGACATGGTTTTATTTTAAAAAAATAAAGGTGGGAACATAGTTTTAGTCTAAAGCACACATTCATAGATATGTTACTCGTAATAAGAAGCTAGTGAATACACACATCTGATGCACATCTGCCCCTGTGATAAATCTAAGCCAATCTGCAGCAAGGCTAACCTGATGTGTTTTTAAGAATTAGAACACAAATATGAGGAAACAGCTCCACAAAAACATTCTAATTTACCAAAACAACATGTGCACCTTGGTCACCTGCCAAAAAGGCAAAGATATGCTTTAACGAGCAGCCTTGTGAAGCTGAGGATGGGTAAAACTCCTGCAGGAAAACTGGGAGGAGTTGACCAAGAGGTGCTGCCAAGCACTGCACTGTTGCCATGCTCTCCTTCTCAAGGGCACAAAAGTGCTGTTACCTGCAGTGCAGCTAGCCGAACGCCTTCCAAAGGTTTGTCTGGGTCCACTTTGATTTCACTTGCTCTGTTGAACAAATCAAGCTCTTTAATAGAGCAGCAAGCCTGATGAGATCCCTGTATGAAGACAGGAACCAAAAGAAAAGAGAATGCATTCACTTACTTCCAGCGTTAGAAAGCGAGCATTCTTCTGGGGAGCATCAGGGTTTACTTTTACAGTACTGGCAGCTTTGAACTCCTCTAAACCCAGAAGCCTTGTCGCAGCATGAGGGGCACCCTGTTTTCATAAGATATCAGCACATCACCAAGGAGCCCAAAGCAGAGAGGGGAAATTTTTACTCTTCCATACAGAGGCTGATTTTAAATATAAGGGACACGCTGCTAATTTTGTGACGCTTTCTGTGAGAATAACAAATGTCAACAGAGGCTGAGGACTTGACTAATACGTTGCAGGCTGCAGCCAAAAAATGGGATCTGGGTACTCCCTCTGTCTAACTTTGCCCCCATTCATACCTGTCTCAAAGCTGGAGTGTAGCTGTCCATTTTAGTCAATGAATACAAACTTCTTTAAAGAGAAGCCACAGGCTGTTTCTAAATGAACTTTCTGGACAAGGCTTTCTTTACTATATTAAACTCAGAAAATTAAGTTATTAATCACATGAGCTGCCAGAACTTGCAAAGCATGCACTTTCCCCACTGAGTGTTTTTACATCTGATTTCTTCTTGTTTTGAAGAGCAATAGAGGCTCCCTCCACCTACTTCAGCACCCATTCTAACACGGTGCTTCTCTACACCTTGATCAGTTTGGTTTGTTTTTTTTTTCTACCTTAAATCTATTTTGCTCTTTCAGCAAAAGGGAAGCTAATGCCCCAGTGCTGCTCATGGGCCAAAATACCTAGCACACATCCCCACGGTGCTAGTTTGATCACCATTTCTTGACTATACAGCAGACACAAGGGTGCTTTGAGCCCACATCAGCATGCTCTATCCTCCCAGGAAAAACCCTGGAACACACACAACCTCAGCTTTCATAATGCGATTTGAGTTGGAAGGGACCTTTATAGGTCACCTAGCTCAACTCCTCTGCAATGAACAAGGACACCTACAGCTAGATGAATGTCTCCAGGGATGGGGAATCCATCACCTCTGGGCTACCTGCTGCAGTGCTTCATTATTCTTATTGTAAAAAAGATTTTCCTATACCCAGTCTAAAACTCAGCTGCTTTAGTCTGAAGCTGCACCCCTGTGCTGTGACTACAGATCCTGTGCTAACGAGCCTGTCTCACTCTTTCTCATAGCCCCCTTTAGCTACACGGCTCTCAGGTGTCCCCAGAGCCCTCTCCTCTCCAGGCTGAACAGCCCCCAACTCCCAGCCTGTCCTCATAGTGAAAATGCTCCAACCCTGATATCATTCATGCTCTTCCTCTTGACACAGCCCCACGTCTCTCCCGTACCGAAGACTCCACATTAGGACGCAGTGCTCCAGCTAAGCACAGAGCAGAAGGGCAGGATCACCTCCCTCGCCCTGCTGAAGGCCTGGGGGCGTGAAATTCATACACCTTCCCCATCATAAACGCGCTCACCTCACCCAGAAGGCGGCTTTACAGCTCTCTGCCACCCCCTACCGTCGCTCCGCACCCGCGCAGCCCGCAGGTCTGCGCCTGGTGGGACCACTGCAACGCTGCGAGCCTCCGTACCTTGAAATTAGGGATGCGGTGATGCACGGGCCGTGGGAACTCAGCCAGACCGCTGGCCTCCAGGTAATCCCACACCTTCTCCCGGATGTCCCCCTTGGAGGCACCTGAAGAAGGGCAAAGCTCACGTTGCAAGCGAGCACCTCGCAGCCGAGCCCCTCCATGCCTTACCGCCCGTCCGCCCCCTCCCTCACGCCCAACTGTCGCCCCCCTGTGACGTCATCAAAGCGCCCCGCCCCTCGGCCCGCGCCCCGCTCACCCGCGCGCAGCCGCACGCCCTCCTGCATGGCGGCGAAGCCGAGGGGCGGTTCCGCTCTTCGCCCCGCTCACTTCCGCTCCAGGGTACGGCGGCGTGGAGGGGTCAAAAAGGCGCGAAAGCGAAGGGCGGTGATGGAGTTTCAGGGCTTTGAGTGGGGCAGGGCTGGAAGGGAAAGGAGGGAAGAATGAGTGCCCCAGGAGGAAGCCCCTGACTCAGCTCCTCCTGCAGCAATAAGCACTATGGTCTGCCTTCAACACATAGCCCTGAACCCCCTCAGTTCCAAAGGGGACTGAGGTCAGATTGGGAATTTCTGTGTAAAAAGCAAGGGCGCAGGAAGAACACAGCTTTTCTTGCAATCTGAGGAAAACAAACAACAAGCAAACAAACAAACAAGCCACATTTAATAAAATAAAGTCTTGAATCCATGACTACGTCGTTTAACATTATACCCAGCCTCTGTGTGGAACCCCAGGTTTACCCACTCCCAAAAGCATGCTTCTTGCATGCATTGAACGGGACACTAAGTGATTTAATGCCTCAATTTATGATTTACAGAATTAATGCATTCAACCATTATGTTGTAAAGAGGCTGGGGCTTTCCCATTCTGCCCAAGCCTGCAAAGAAAGACAGTGGAGCCCAGGTTCTGCAATGGGGTGCATTTGGGAAGAGCCTTTTGCTCCCTCTGTGCTCTGCTGGAGAGAGTGGGAATCCATCCAGGCACAACAGACCACCCATGTGCAGCTGGACCCAAGCATTTGAAGCTCATTCCTCCCCTTCCTACTCACGGAAAACTCTGATATTGTGGTGGGGAGCGCAGGATTGGGCCTTTGGTGAGCAATTGGCAGCCTCTCTGTAATTCTGCATTGAATTTACGCTCCTGCCAGGGCAAGAGGAGGCTCACAGAATGCTGTCTTCCTTCCTGGAAGCTCCTACAGACCTCACACAGGTGCAATGCCACTGTTTCTTTGAGGAAGGTAAAGCAATGGTGCCGTGGCAATTAATACATTAGCAATCAAGGGAGAGCTGAGACCCTACCAGACCACCTCCATCTCCCTAACATGTCACTTCCTGACATGGTTTTGTCTCCCAAACAGACAGGCATGACCTGGCTATACAGAATTCAGGATACTTTGCCCTAGGCTGTGAAATGAGTTTGCAGACAGTTGATGTCTTTCTTACCAATTCAGTTCTCTGCTTTGATTCCACGGGTCTGAAACCCTGCGTGCTCCAAATTGCTTTTCCAGTGTCTCTTCTATTCAACACGTGCTTCAGCCTTTCCCATTAGCATTGCACAGATGCCACTGGAAAGTCTCATTTTAGCAGGAATCAGACAGGGCCACCAACATCTTGTGTAAATGGAGTCAGGCTACTGGAGGGGACTGAATCATTTCTAATAACCATTTTACCAAACCGACAAAATGTTGCTTCTGCCTGCAGAGCTCACAGTTTGTGAAACCACCTAGAAAAAAGGGAGTGCCTGAGTAACGCAGGCCAGGAGAACAAACCCCAGGGTGCACTGTGGACAGTGCAGAAAGAAACTCCTTGTGCTGTGGCCATCAGTGCCCTGCAGAGCAGGCTGACACGTAAGGGCAGCCACAAAAAACAGACAAAATGCACTCGAAGGTGAACACTAACCTATACAGAGGATAGTGCTTGATTTTCAATACTGAAAGTTAAAAATTGGCTGCAAATTATAAAGGCAGCTTGTTTTTACAATATGTTCATTGTTGCAGGTTATTAACTGGGCCAAATCTTTCTGAATACTGTGAAATGTATTTCCATGTGTGGCTAAACAGTCAGCGATTGGATTTTTTGTGTATGTTAAGCAACCCTGAAAAAGAAGCATATTAAGGCTGGTGGGACTGGCCCTATCTAGCCCATCTGAGCCCAGCAACTCATCTGCTGCTGTGGAAAGGTGCGGGGTTTGTGTCAGTCCCTTCCCTTCCCTTCCCTTCCCTTCCCTTCCCTTCCCTTCCCTTCCCTTCCCTTCCCTTCCCTTCCCTTCCCTTCCCTTCCCTTCCCTTCCCTTCCCTTGT